TGGAAGACAAAAGTGCTTACAATGTGGTTAGAGAAAAAAAGTATAAACACATGGAATGTTAAATGTTAACCATGAGTCTGTCCTTCCTTCCTTCCTTCCTTCCTTCCTTCCTTCCTTCCGTAGCACTGGGGATTGAACCCAGGGATGCCCTACCATTGAGCTGCATCCACAGCCCCTTTTATTTATTTAGTCAATTAATTAGTTAGTTGGGGGTAGCAGGGATTGAACTCAGGGGCACTTAACCACTGAGCCTCATCCCCAGCCCTATTTTGTATTTTATTCAGAAACAGTGTCTCATTGAGTTGTTCAGAGCCTCAATTTTGCTGAGGCTGGCTTTAAACTTGCAATCCTCCTGCCTCAGCCTCCCGAGCTGTTGGAATTACAGGCATACAGCATATGCTACCACACCCAACTCCATGAGCTCACTTTTAGTTCACAGCATATTCTTATATACTTCCCAGGCTGATTTGGAGCAAAGAGAAAATAAGTACCTTGTCCAAGTTCATACAATTAGACTCGAAAACTGAATCTATTTCTGTCCTGTGCCACTCTTAAGCTCTCCAAATGACCAATTTCCCACGATGTTGAGAGCAGCAGCATAGATGTAATTGAAGAGCTTAGAGAAAGGAGAGGACTTCTCTGTGCTGCCCAGGAGGGTGAAGTGGGGTTGTAGAGCCAATGGGGACTTTCCTCCCTTCAGAGGATCATTGAGAGCATTCCAGTGGTGATAACCCCATGGACAAAGGCACAGATAGGAAAAAGAAACTAATTTGTAGAAATCATGAGTATGTTTGGCAGGAAGTTTTGTTGAGAAGAATAGTGAGATCCAGAGGCGAAAGAAGGGAGGAGAAGCCTTGAATCAAGAATCTGGTGTTCAGCTTTTATTCCGAAGAAAATTGCTACGATCTGAACATTTCTGTCCTCCCAAAATTGAGTGTTCAATTTGTGTGTGTGTGTGTGTGTGTGTGTGTGTGTTGTATATCAAACCCTGGGCCTCACTTCCTCACTTGCTAAACATGTACCGTACCTCAGCTACACCCCCAACCCTTGTGTGATGAAACTTAAACCCCAAAGTGATAGCATTAGGTAGTGGGGTCTTTGGAGACATGATTAAGTCATGAGGGATCTGCCTTCATGGATGGGAGTAGTGCCCTTAGGAAGGAGAATGAACAGAATGTGTTTGACAGTCTACCAAGTGATGACACGCAGAAGGCACCATCTATCAATCGAGTAAGCACTCATCAGATATGAATTTGCTGGCACTTTGATCCTGGACTTTTCAGTCTCTAGAATGATGTGCAATCAGTTTTTTTTTTTTTTTTTTTTTTTTTTTTTGGCTTATAAATGACTTGGCCCAACGTATTTTGTTTCTGGAATCCCAAACAGTCTAAGTTGACCACTGAGCTGCCATTTTATGGTTTCAGGACTCATCTTTTTAAAAGTTTAATTTGGGGAAGACTGGTCTGTTATGTGTGTACAGTTAGGGATGATAAGGAGCTGACCTCTGTGCTTTTTAAGTGAAACACCAGGGAAGGAACTGATTAGATTTATTTCTAACTGAGGTCTTGGTTATAATAAATGGGGTACAGGAGAGTGAGAATATATTGCAGAAGCTTATATGAATATGTGCCTGTAAAAGTGCTCAGATGAGGGAGGGAATGCTGGAGGACACAAAACTACCTGATTATTCCAACACTAGACTTTTTAAATCCTTTGGGGGATATAAATTTATAACATTATCCATATGTCAGTCACTGAATGCTTCTACATTTTTTCCCCAAGGGGTTCCTGTTAATGACTTCTGGTTCAGAGTTCCAATGAGTGTGGTTTGAGAAATGAGAAGTTATTTATATACTGGTTATTGCCTAAGATGCATCTCTTTGTTAGTAATTGCTATTCCAGTCTTGGATTACCAACCTCAAAATTATTTATAAGCACATAGATACTCAAGTCAAGTTAATATTTTTGACTCAGGACTATAGGTGGCCAAGTTAAATTAATTTAGATGACACTGGAAGAACATTTTTGAAAGTAGGCAGTAGATCACAACTGACATCAATAGTATATTTGTATTATGTGTATTATGTATTTGTTTGTGAATTCCTTATATTCAATTCAATTTCACAAAACTCAGCAACAGTTATTACCTTATACCCGTTTTATGGAGAACATAGTGAATAGCAAACAGTAGAAAGTACTTTGCTAACATTTTTCAAAGTATTTGCTAACAGAGCAAAATGAATGTATTGCCATCAGAATGAGTGGTTTGCCCTTGCCTTAACTTTACTGTGACTTTGTCAGCAAAATGCACAGTGGTAATAAGTGGAATTGCTGTTGGTTCTTTGCAGACTTATCTTTTATCACACCTTCAGAAGACAGGTTTTAAATAGCAGTTCACGCCATCTAAAATAATAGTTTGCAGCAAATTTAATCAGGAATCTGGAAGGCTTTGTCTTTTTCAAACACAATATTGACCTCATTTTCAAGTGAATAAAGGATCAAGACTTATTTATTTATTTATTTATTTATTGCACACAAGAAGGAAGACAAGCCATCCTGTCTCCTAAGAAAGGGTCCGATGGTGAAACTCTCCCTCCCTATGAAAACTATCTTATGTTTTAGCAAAATTCAGGGGTGTATTTATTCCCAGCCATGTTATATTGGTTCCAGATTCAGTGCCAAATGAATAGGGTACCTTGTGCTACTTAAATATGCAATTGTATAATATTTAAATCAAATAAAATATATCTCATCAGTCATCATTTCTTTATGATGAAAACACTCAAAATCCTTTCTTTTAGGTTTTTGAAATCATATGTAGACTATAGATAGAGAACATCTCTATAGTCATCTGATGGTGCAACAGTAGTTTTGCTAGTCTTTTTGTTGTTGGTGGTTTGTTTTTTGCAGATTGAATCCAGAGCCTCATGCATGCTAGTGACTATACCCAGGTACAGTCTCAGACCTCTTTTGTTAGCTCTTAAAGACAGAGAAGAAAAACCTCTTTTCTTCCCAAGTCCAGAAATCCCATGACTCAATGTTGCAATGACCTGTTAGGAATCATTTAAACAGTTATAAAAACTGAACAGAGAAATAGAAAGCAAGACCTCCTTAAGGAGATCATATCATGTCCAAGCGATCTGGAAATGACTGTGCTTTGAAGAAAGCATATGCTAGTGTTCTCTGGACCCCAGCCTCTGAAGCGTTTTTGTGGTCATGATTTGCCATCTTCAGCTCGTGACACATGACATTTATGTGGAAAGGAACTCCTTTTCCCCTGCCCTCAATATCTGCACTGTCATTACTCATTCCCTGAAGTGGTTTGGTCAGTTGTACTGATGTGCTTGAGGGAAAAAGAAGGAACCTTCCATCATGGTTTAGAGAGGACAGGGGTGAGCAGGTCTCTTGCTCTTGGTTTCAGAAAAGCTTCACAGAAGGGCTTTCGTGGGATTTTATTAGGAAGGCAGATATGGTCTGATGGAGAAAGTTTAAGATAAAGGAAGGGAAAGTGTAGTAAACACAAGAAAGTCTGTGGGAGACCTAAAAAGAGTGAGGAGAGCTCTAGGTGAACCGAACTGTGAAAAGATGAAGCAGATACAGGAATCTAGGAGCTTAAGAAAGCCCTAAATGGTCAGAAAGAGGCTCCAAGGTCTCAACCATGACACTGTTTTTGCTTTAGGATGCTTGAAATCACAAAGTAATTTCTAATGCCTGGCTAGTGGCATCCAACATGAATAAATTAACAGAACTGTAAAGATTACCTCTGTGTTTGCCATCAACAATTACAATTAACTGCCACATGGCTAACTGAGCAGTTCCCTCACTGCTCTGGCATTTGTCCCCTGATATTTGTAAACAGTGGCCACACCACCACTTCATCACCGTCTGATCAAGCTGCATGGGGCTCACTCTTGCTCTTCTAATCCATTCCTCCAGCCGGTGAAATCATTTCCCTCGTGCTGTTCCTCCAGCCAATTTGTTCATTTCTGGGAAAACTGGCACCGCATTATTCTAACTGCAGACTCACAGTTGTATTTACAATTAATATTTATTGAGTGCTAACTGGGTGCCTGGCCTTGCTTTAGGCACTGAAAAGGGCCCCAGTTGCCATTGATTTATGTAGGTGCACCTTGGTGTCTGGCAGCCCTGTGTTCTCCTACTGTCTCAGATTCCTCTGGTGTAACTTGTCTCTCGTTTGATATTTTTATTTGTAATTGATACACAGTAATCGTACATATACTTATGGGGCCCAGTGTGACATTTCTCTTATCTCTTTCTTGATGGTAAAATACAGAGTTCCAATACTAGGAATTAAGACATTCTTTCTCTTACTCCAATTTTTTCCCACTCACATGTTATTTTTATTATAGCGAGTTAGATAACTGTATTGGCTTTAAGAAGTTTCCATAAATGATAGCATTTGCCAGTAAATGGATGGTACTGGAGAATATCATGCTAAATGAAATAAGCCAATCCCAAAGAACCAAAGGCCAAATGTGTTCTCTGATATACAAATGCTAATTCACAATAGGTGCAGGATGGTTTGGGAAGAATAGAGGTACTTTGGATTTGACAGAGGGGGTGAAGGAAGGAGAGGGGATGTGGAGGTAGGAAAGATAATAGAATGAATCAAACATTATGACCCTAGGTGCATATATGACCACACAATTGGCATAATCCTACATCATGTACAACCAGAAAAATGAGAAGTTATCCTCCATTTATGTATGATGTGTCAAAATGGATTCTATTGGCAAGTATAACTAATTAGAATTTTTTTAAAAAAAAAGTTGTTCCCATAGACTTCCACTGTATAAATATGACAAGTTTTTTTAAAAAAAGTTATTTGAACCTGAAAATTTCAAAACCAAAGAACTAGCTACTTTGGCCCTACCTTCTTACCTATACAGATGGAGAGGTTTGATGAGGAAATACATTGACTGGGTTTGTCTGACTCAGTTTTCCCCATGATGGCTGATAATAGACTGACCAGGGACAAG